TAGTGACAACCATCATATGTTTTGGAGAAATAAATCATAGTTTAGGTCAATTACTTTTCATTCTATGATGCCTGGTGCACAATTCTAGATATGACGTTCTATGCACAATTTTGTGATGCCAGATGATGCACTAATTTTTCGATAAGTGAACTTTTTTTGCTCAGCGAGGTAAATGTAATCAATATTCTTTGTTTTTAATCAATTTTTTTCTTAACTGGAGCCTTTGCTAACTGAGGTTTTACTGGAAATGTGCTTTTGGGGGTGTCCTGAATAGCCCCGGGGGGTGTCCCGGGTAGCCCCACCGTGCGGAAATGACCGCCATTTTTTTTAATAAGATAGGCAAAATCTGTCAATTATGTTTTCAAGCCGACACCTGGGTGCAACTTTTATGTAAGTAAAATTTTTTAATACAGTGAATATTTTTTTTACTACAGACCTTAGCAGAAGTAACTTTTCAAAATATCGTTTTTCACCATATTTTTCAGGAATTTTTCAAAGCTAGTGAATGTAGTATTTTTGAACTTCCTTTATACTACATAGATAAGAAAAATGTTGACGTTTACGCCACTATATTTAGTTTCGCAATATTCCAATTAGTTTTGCTACTAAAACAGTTTTACGCCGTGTTGGAGTACTGTCCCGAGTTACCCCACCCGTCCCGAGTAGCCCCGGTTGACGGTACACTCTGCATGCTTTAAATGTTTTAAAATTAAGTTTTATTCCAAGTGTCCTGAGTAGCCCCATTCAATGGGGCTACTCGGGACACTCTTTTTTTGCTTCTGACACCTTACGAATAGCATATGGAATTTTTTTTATGCAGCCATGCAATAGCCCTTGCAAAGAGCTTTGAAATGAGCTTAAACTTGTTTATGAAATGTTTCATGGTAAGAAGTTATGAATGAAAAATGTTCAAAATTGTCCCGAGTAACCCGGGTTGATGGTATTTCTTGAGATATGCAAATTCCACCAATCACATTTTTAAGCCAACACCTGTGTGCAACTTTTATGTAAGTAAAATTTTTTAATATGGTGAATATTTTTTACTTTTGCTACAGAACTTAGCAGAGGTACTTTTCCAAAATCTCACTTTCCACACTTTTAGAGATAGTAAATGTATGATTTCTTAACTAGCTTTATACATAATAGATAGTAAAAATGTTGAACTTTACACCACTATTTTTAGTTTTACAATATTTTGATTATTTTAGCTGCTACAACATTTCTACAAAATGTCAGAGGACTGTCCCTTATTACTCCACCCTTCCCTTATTACCCCATTTGACGGTATATGGTTTGTTCAATTTTGCCTAATTCCGATGACTTTCCTGAATTATAAGAAATTTTACTGATTCATGTTCCATTTAATTAAAATTATGTTCTGTTTTACTGTAACGGAGACCTTAAAGATTAAGTTAGATTAAGTGTCGATTTCGAGAGAAGTTTTGAGGCATTAAAGGCTCAACTTTTGACTGGCTTATGAGATACGGAGGTGACTCAAATGGTGTTCTAGGCTACTGTATTGCCCGCAGTGACTAGAGTGCAATTCACTTCCTATCATCTTTTGAATTAATGCATGCTATGGGCCCTTTATCATGATTAATGCATGCCATGTTACTATTTGGTTTGACCCAACTTTAAGACGTCTCTGACGCATTAATTAAACTTGGCAGTATTGCCGGCTTTCGAGCCTATTAACTTTATGCCCTGTGGCGCTTTAACCCTATTAATTTAGTCACGTTGGGTCTACCAAGTCAATTATTAATATACTAACCATTGCACTCAATTGCACTTGCAAACACCTATGTACCTCTAAACGGCTTTCAAGCCACTTCTAAATTTACCCCAGCGGTAATAAATTAGAAGGTTAGTCGCGAAATATTTATTCTTAACTTTGCATAAATTTGATCAATATATCATGATCCTCATAATGAATAATAGCATATGATACAATAGCAATTATTCTATCAATCTAATCTTGGTTTGTAACTGTTAATTTTACAGTATAACCTCCGGTATATCCTCGTATGTCGCATCTTTTTTCTCGTGTGCTTCATGCCTCCTGTGCAGCCAGCGCAACACTATTTGTGCTGTACGCGTTATTTCATTTGAGGTTAGATTGGGAATATGCGTTCACTGTCAAGTTTTGTACCGCTAAATTGGAATTACTGAGCATAATTGATAAACCCTTTCTCAAGCTCCGGCATTTATTTAGCAAAGTCTCTTTTTCTACTTTCAGTTCCCTAAACTGCATCCACTGCAGTTCTGTTATACTACTTCGCTGGAGCCGAAATTTACCCTTTGGAGTTTCAATAAAATTGTTAGCCGTTATGCTTGTATGAATTCCTTACAGAATGTTGCCCTGGAAAGCAGGGAAGGCACAAATCACAAATAATTTGCAATGACTAAATAAGTACCTTCAACTGGGTGACTTTGGCCCCCAGGGTGACTCTTTGGTGGGCCATGTTTATTTTGTTTTGCAAACAAAAGTGGGGTCATAAAGGATGGCCAAAGTCACTCTGGCGTTTATGACCTTGTTTACGACCCTGGCATTTACGACCCTGGCGTTTACGACCCCGGCGTTTACGACCCTGTTAAACAAAATCAAAAACCCTGCCAAAGTCACCTGGGCAGCCCAAGTCCCCAGTTGGCCAGTTGAAGGTAGGTGTTTTTTGTTTCATTCAATGCATTCTAGGTGCTTCATTAAATAAATCTACAGATAGAATAATAGAATTGAAATTCATGCACATGATGCACTGATCATGACTGAGTCTGATGCAAACTGACTGTGACTGCTGAGTGCTGACATCTTGGTCATGGTCAAGACTCAAATGTCAATATATTCTGAGTCCTAATGTTGCCTGAAAGGCTGAACTTGCTGGCTTAAGCTGAAGGGTGATGCCTGTCAAATTTATGGCATGTGCCATGCTAATCACTTATAAATAAATTCACTTCATGAATGTGTGACTGTGTCTGTGTGAGATGTATAATATTTGTTTATTTTTAGATCTGCCAAAAACTAAGATGTCTTTAGGTTGTTCTGGCCGAATTAGAGTAGAAGAAAAATTGAAGCGATATGAGAAAATTGAATTCCTTGGTGAAGGGCAGGTGAGTCATTTAGTCATCATATAAAATTAAACTTGAAATGCATAATAGTTTAAACTTTAAATAACCTGTTATCTTAAACTTTAAATAACCTGTTATCTGGTTCCAATTTGCTATTTTTGTTATAAGATTACTAGCCAGCATTTTCTGTATTGAAAACATGACATTTAATGATGACAAGTCTAAATTTTATTGCATGCGATCAAGGAAAACATCTCCCTTTAGGGCCCTGACTAGAGCTTTCCTGCCATTTCTTGAACTGCAAGATTCCTGCTAGATGAATTACCTCCTATCTAATTGTTAACAAAAGTGCACAATCAGGCCGTTAGTTACCAAATGTATTTAAAATTTGTCACGCCAGGGCCATGAGATTTCAGAAACAAGTAGGAAAATTCAAACCCTGATTGCATGCATGTCATAAATTTTATTTATTTATTTATTTATTTATTTTATTGAATTCAGATTACCATGATATAATGGGTTTTGAATTATAGTCAAATGAAAGTCAATAGATATTTATGTCTATAAATTCCTTCAATTCTTTATTCCGACTCTTACTTAAAAGTTAAAATATGAAGCAATTAAAAGTATTAATTTTCATTGGCTCAATCTAAAATTCTGGTTATTTTTTATAAATGTATATATATGAATCAAATGATGAGTATGCCATACTTTTTGTTGAAGGTTTTCTTTTTTACAGTTTGCCACAGTTTACAAGGCTTTGGACACAGAAACTCAACAAATTGTTGCTGTGAAGAAGGTAAATAATAAGAAGAATTTATTTAGGGACAAAATTCTTGAATAACTTTTCTTCCTTGAGCAAATGCATTTATTTTAACTGTCATTAAAACTTTATAAAAAATTTTAATGATTATTTTTGCACTATCATCTTAGTTTTATAACTTTTACTTAGAGTTGAACTGGCTATTTGGGAAATAAAAATTACTTCTCCAATTGTAATTTTTTGGATGTTGTGACATCACTAAATTTGTCAAATTTTTTTGACAGTGTATAAATCAGTATAATAATATTAGTACCATTCATCAGTATAACTATATTGTTCTCATCAATGTCCAAATTGGCAGATCAAACTTGGCAGCCGAGAAGAGGCTCGAGATGGTATTAACAGAACTGCTCTACGCGAGGTTAAACTGCTGCAAGAAGTGAAGCATCCAAACCTCATTGGCCTCCTAGATGTCTTTGGATACAAATCTGATGTTTCTCTAGTGTTTGATTTTATGGACACTGACTTGGAGGTTATCATTAAAGACACTGAAAATATTAGTGTTTTAACTCCACCAAATATCAAGGCATACCTTATACAAACTTTGCAAGGATTGGAGTTCCTTCATAAACATTGGATCTTACATAGGGTGAGTTTAGCCCCAATTTGATTCAATGTTTGAAATACATTTTCAAGTATAACATTATAGTGTAATGCTAAATTTTTAATTTATTGTGGGAATACAAGGACCGTTAGGCACAAAAAGTATTACAATATTGTTTCTAAATTTTATGAAATTTTTTATCTTCATTACACGAGTTCACTATGAAAATTAATCATTACTGATATTAAAATTTGAGTTCATGGGCCAAAGGAAGATCCACAAGATAATTAAGTAAAATACTCGATTTTGTATTGAAATTTTATTTTAACTGTGTAACTTAAGAATCTGAGGTGGACATAATTTTGCTGAACCTATTTCATTTTGCTGGCCTGAATTATTTTATACCTTGAATGATGGCAGCTGCCACCCAATCATTACTCTTAATTGTTGATGTAACCCTTGTCATTTCATTTGTACTTGACTGAGCCATTTAACTTCATGTTTCAGGACATCAAACCAAATAATTTGCTTGTCAACACCGAAGGGGTTTTGAAAGTTGGCGATTTTGGTTTGGCCAGGTTTTTTGGTTCTCCTAACAGACCTTACTCCCATCAAGTAGTTACTAGATGGTATAGGTAAGAAAGTAATCAGAATTTGTTCTTTAAAATTGTTGCAGTAATTGGTTCTGTAATGTATTTTTTATTACTTTTTGTAATTACTCTGACATACTAAAATTGTCATTTTTCAGCTTCTAAAAAGGCCAACCTCAATGATTAAAAAATCCAATTTTGAGAATAACATAAAAATTCTCATAAAACAAAACTAGTGGACAAACTTTAATATATATGGCACTTGAGTAATTTTGATATTTCATTTTTAATTCGGTAACTTGAACTAATTCAATTTTTTGTTCCTTAGATGTCCAGAACTGTTGTTTGGTGCTCGTCAATATGGCCCTGGCGTGGACACATGGGCCGTAGGCTGCATACTGGCAGAGCTGCTTGTTCGAGTGCCTTATTTCCCTGGCGACAGTGACCTGGCACAGCTTACTACAATATTTACTGCACTTGGCACTCCTACAGACACATCTTGGCCGGTCTGTGATATTCCATATGAATGATAATGACAATAATTTGTTAATGAATTTAAGTTATGGATAAATGGTGAAACTTCCAATGCTACTTTTGCTGTACAAGGTTAATAAAAAATTCAACATTGACATAGCTGTAGTTGTTTGCTACATAAAACCATGATATTACACTTCAATAATTGGGCTGCTTTCTGTTACAGTCCAAAAAATTGAAACAATTTATTTCATGGCTTATATTTAAATTTTTCAAGCTTTCATCCCCCCCCTCCTGTTTATTCTATTTTTTTTACTGGAATTACTATATTAGTATAAATGTAGACTGAAGATGAACGTAAATTTTCCTTTCCATTTCTAACTTTGAGGTATACTAGAAGAGCTTTGTAAGTGATGGTCAAAAACGGAGATGCTTTTGTTTCATATAGTGATGCTCAACTGTTAACATGCAATCCTTTGAGATCAGGTGGAACAGTCCCACCCTGTTAATCAAAATTTTTCTTGTTTCACTGTCTAAATAATCTTGACCTTTCAAAGATGAAAGATCTACACAACTGCAAACATATTTTGTATGCAAATGTATGATGTTTACTGGTTCACATACTCAATTTTAAATTTCTGCTTGCTTGTGTATCACAAATTAAGAAAATTCATAGAATTAATGCTAGTAGTATTTTTCTATTTTGAAATATAACACATGTAGGTAAATCATGTATATAAAACTGATTCTTTGTTAAATTCTGTACATTCCAGAATTGAATAATTAGTTTCCAAATTAATCAAATTATATTCATATTTCTTTGTGGAAATGTGCAGGGCATGGAGACTCTTCCGGACTATGTAGCGTTCAAGCCCATGGAAGGTTCTGCCATGAAGGACCTTTTCCCTGCGGCGCCTGACGACCTCATTGAGCTGCTGGAGGCGCTGCTGGCCATCAACCCCCTGCACCGCTCTGACTGCACCGCCGCGCTCAAGCTGCCTTACTTCTCGTGCGTCCAGGCTTTTATCTATGACAAGAATTTGAAAGCTAAGAAAATGCCGAGCAAATTCACCATATCATGATGAAAACTGTTCATGAAGCTATGGTGAATCTTCTTGGTCTTTTTTTAAGTCTTTGTGAACTTGCGATTTAAGCAGACTGTTGTAGAATAAGAAGACTTGGTAATCCAGGCTTTATTTAAACAAATGTCGAGTTACCTGAAATTAGAGTAACCGATATCAAACACTGATGATTAACTCACACAACGAAATATAACGAACAATAGAAGCAATATCACAACAAAATCAAAGTTAGCTATATACATGGCGGAGAACTTACATAACATCACGGAAGTTGTTAAGACCGTACAGTTCGACAGAAACGTAGACACTGGCACGGTGCGAGACTCCAGGCCAGCTAACGTCCGGTCTTCATCTTAATATGAACAAAACTCGCATATAATACATCCTTTATTACCACATGGACTAATGATATATGCACTCATCACTAACAAGATTTAGCATTACTTAGTGACAACTTTTACACTAATTATGCTTGATTTTGTTTCATTTCTGACCTACTTATTTTCAAATTTTATCACAAATATCATGAACTTCCTTAACTCATTATATGATGTGCATCATTTCGCCTTCTATTCTGATCTTGCATGCCTTCTTACAATGAGCCTCGTATGTCGTTGTTCATTACCTCTTGTCTCACTATATTTATGCTTCAATATGTCTCATCTTGTGCCGCGTTTCCTGATCTCACATCGCATCTGCACTTACGTTCTTACTTGTTTCTCATCAACAGTTGGACATAAGTTCATGACTCGTTCTTTCTCAGTTGTACATGAAGGGAAGAAAATGGGTCGGTATGGAGAACCATGACTTGTGAATAGTAAATTGATGAGTATGTATCACATAGCCACAATGAATTTTTTTTTCGTTGAAGATTTTGCAATCAGCTTTGATATTTGAGTATTTATTTTCAAGCATATCACATTTCATGCTCTCGTTTAATTAACTGAGCTAATCTTTTTGTAAATTACCGTAAGTTGTAAAATAATATTTTGTTATGATTATTGACATTACTTCATAGCTTGTTTCATGAGCAGAAACTCGCTCTTAATTCTTATGTGAACTCATTCACCAGCTTGTGTCCACAAAAAGTCGTTCACGACTTCGATAATTGTTATGTGCGAATTTCCCGAAAAATGAATCGTGGCTGATTTCCTGTTTTATCATCAGACTTTAGTTATTAGTAACTCCTACATTCTGACCATAACTCATCCCCGCTTCACACAAAAAATCTTCCTCTTAGGAAATTAAGGAAACAGCCAAAATTTTCTAGCAGCATAGTCAGGTATTATTTGTTGTCTAGATCAAGAATAAAGCTAAGGATTAGTTGTTTTAAGGTTTATGTTACGTGATCTCTCGTGTGACTTAACAGTTTCATGAGGCGAAGAAAGATTTTGCTGTGCATTTTTGAGATTGCATGTCCCATAACACGTATAACAGCATCCAATTCGCCTAATACTTGTTTTAGTCTACATACTTGAGGATCACGCCGAGCAGGAACACAAAAAGAAGCAATAAAGTGACATATTAGTCCTGCTGAGTAGGAGCACGAAAGTACCTAATCCATATTGTACATGAGCAGAAATATGCCGCCCCCGACACCTGGGCCTCTCCTGCCGCTGCCCGCGTGCGTGAAGAGACAGGCCGGAGGTGCGGAAAAGGAGGGCGCCGCCAAGAGCCTCAAGCGCAAAATCATCGACACGACCGGACTTGGAGGTGAACTCGATCCCGTCACCAGTCTCTTTTTCTGACCCTAACTCATCCCGTTACCCGTCTCTTTTTCTGACCCTAACTCATCCCGTCACCCGTCTCTTTTTCTGACCCTAACTCATCCCGTCACCCGTTTTTTTTTTCTTGCCTCATGAAAAAGGTCATTTATAACTCCTATTCATTAAAAATCACTTTCAGAATCGCCAATCGTCGTCATTTTGCCACTTAATGAATGTTTGAAGGCACAAACAATGTGCCCAAATATTAAGTGTAAATTTATTTCATCGGCTTTTAAAGGGAGTATTCATTCCTCGGCAACATATTTTTCACTGTATTTTTTCTCCGGCACTATATATGTTTATGCATATTCCTCAAAATTATTGGCAATAAATTTTTCCATTCACAGCTTCATAGCCCGTTTTTTTAATGAACAAGGTCATGTAAGACGTACGGTAACGCATAGGTGTGCCAAGAAGTGAACACTATGGCTACTGAAATAATTGTATTTCGGTTTTCTATGACGAGATTTAGTTTTTAGATTGATTAACTGTTGAAAGTTGCATAGTCTAATAGGCGTTCGAAAAAATACCCGAAAACCTTTTGAAATTTTGCCAAAAAATTCTAGAAACATGACCGATTATCTGAAAGTAGCGGATTTGATGAAATAAATGCGATTTCTCTTATGCTGAGAATAGTTTTTCTAAAATCTAATCATAAATGATTAACGTCTTTTCTAGAAATATTTCACAGTTAGAGAACATTTCGAATATGCCGGTTTGACTCATTTTTGGTTTTGTGATTAAAGTTTTAGTGTGCGAATCATAAATTTAATCAACTGAAATTGTCCGTTTATTCACTTCCTGTAATATAAATGATTGAGACCTCTATAAAGAAAACTTTTTTCTTTCATTGAACGATCTTGCCGACTGTTTCTAATGTGGTGAGGCTCCCGCAGCCCGAGAACTTGAGTCATTTTCTAAGAAAGTCACTCAATTGAGTGAATTGACGAATATTACGAAGCTGGGTTATGTCAATCTAGATGACTGTTGTGACCCTTGCCGTGAGTTTTGAAGCAGAATTCATATTTATATTCATATGCTGCCTTGACCTAATAATCTGAATTTCACGCTAACAAACACTTTCTATCAACTAATGTTCGGATGAGCGCATAATAATTGATCAAATTCCTGACTTCAACGTCGCAAGTGTAACTCGGGAATTTGCAAGCGACACATTAACAAGTTACGGAGAAGTTAGGGTCCTCGCTTCACTTTATTGAACCATGTTGTCAGTACCTATCAAGATGTGAATCATATGGTACTAATATCAATTTTTATTTTCAGGATCGTTGGCAAAGCGACTTCAATTCTAAGCAGCTACGGTATGGTCGTCATAAAAAGCTCAACTATTGCTTTTCTCTAAACTAAACCAAAGACGAAACTGTACCGCGATTGCATGCATTCAGTATGGGTGATAGCCGTGGCAGCCCAGTCAAGAACCACACTCGTCTTTAACTAGACATTTGTAACACAACGTCTACAACATCGTCGTATTGCTCTGGGAGTAATCTCCACATTCCGTTCATGAAGACAAACATTTGAGCTGAGGTAAACGAGCAAATATGCCAATACCAATGCTGGGAACACCCGAGACAACTGAAGATTAATGTGATAATAGCCGATTGTTGGTTTATTTATTGCTTTGTAACGTATTAAATTTTTTTACGGAAGTCTTATTAAATTTATTCCCCTATACACTCGCGATCCATGGAAGGAACTGAAAGCCCAGAGATTCATGATTACCTTTTTTTGTAAAGACAAGGCTTCAATTTAATGACCGGCAAATTTTCCCTGTTCTTCACATCTTTAACCTTCTTGAAATCAAAAGACACAAAGTAGTTGTGGTTAACGGGTTTCTTGCAGCACTTGAAGCCGAACTTCTGGATCTTGGCCACAAACTCCTCCACGTTTGTTATTCTCGACTCGACTTCTGCTATTTTCAGGATCCCACTGAAAAATAAATTGAAACCTCCTAGATTGGACGTCGACAGCATGAACTCCGGCAAATACCTGAAACTTGCGTCTTATAATCATTTCTTCCACTACATTATTTAATTCTTTAAACTTAATCCTAAATTTGATGACATCATTCACAGGACTAACATTCATTTTCGGAGCTGACGGGTATCTTTCAATCAAATTATTTTTCACGTATTATAATGAAATATATTACCGCTATCAGTAAGTATTTTTTTTATGTCAGTGCAATTGAAATGTTTCTTCGTACACTGAATGATTTATTGGGTTACTTTTCACCATAAAGTATTTAAATTTGTATTTTTCCACTCTTAATTAGGTATAATAATGGAAGTTTTGATGGCAGGGTGCCAGGACTCACCCCGGCTTTAGAGTTCTGTTTGCTTCCTTGATGAAATCTGAGACGTTAGTGCCCATGAGGGAGAGACAGAACACGGCCACGTTCACGCTCTGCGGCCTGAGTGGCGTGTGCGCCATGTCGCAAGCTGTCACCTGTCAACGATAATTGTTATGAGTAGGAGTCTATCATTGCAGGGTAATCACCCAGCAAATAGGTAAATGCGATTTTTCAAAAATTGATATCTGGAATTGGGGGCAAAAACACGCACAAATATCGAAACATTTCTAATCACCTGCCTGAAGAACTGACTAATAGCACTCACTGGACCATAAATACCCATAGTAAAGACCTCGATAAGAAATCGCCACGAGTTTATTGTAAATAAAATGACAAGATATACGAGGACGAAAAAATAAATATTTCTCACGCACATGGGGCTTGATAGCAACGAGGTCAAGGCTGTGCACCTTCTGCTGCACGCGCTCTGCCAGCTCCCCCTCCCCGCACCCAAAGTCGGCTACCACCCAACTGCTGTCCCTGTAGGCAGTCAAACATAAGCCAACACACGGAGAAAGCAGTGTCACAAATAAATCCATTATTTCTTATTCATCCATTTCAATTTCATTTAGGTCTAAGCTCACATAACCATTCACTGACTTTCATAATTATGTTCTCAATTAATCTTGGAATAGTTTTCTCATAAGATAGGAAGACGGGAATGGTGAAGCAAGGTCGGTAGACAGACAACTCACTGAATTTTCAGCCAGTCTATGATGATGTCGAGCGGCTTCAGGGGCCACAGGGCGACCTGTGACTGGAAACCGTCGTGGTAGATCTTGAATGACTCTGGATCATCTTTGAAGAGCTCTTGCGCCTCCTCTCCAGAAATTTTATACAACTGCTCATTTATCATCCTGTGAAAATTTCAGTTAGCTTTAATGTTACAAGTTCAACGATTTGAAACAGATACGTATGTTCCTTTGCATGAACGTTTCCCCAGTATAACACGTTCTTTTTCAAATATATTGTACCTACTAATCCAAAATATTAGGAGAAATACATTATTCTACTGTTAAAGAATCTTTACACCAAACATATTTGTAAATGCAGAACGCTCTCTTTGAAGCAAAAAAATAATAATAACTAAGCAAAAAATCTTGGCCATGAACTTGCAATCATCCATTAAGTCTCAAACTACCTTAAGTATTACCTTAAGTACTTAATCACATTAAGTCTTACGGTAATTTAACTGACGATTACCTTGCTTATCCTTATAAAATCCTTTCTCTGCTGATCTAACCATTAAGTTGTTCAAAGTGACAAATAAAATGCAACAACGGTATCAATGAAAGCAAGAAAGGCTTGAAACACTTCAAAATGAAATACACATCAAAATATAACGTGCAAGAAAAGAAGTGGTTTATGGAATGAAACAATAGTTGACCACAAATCTCTTGGTCCTCACTATGCTAAGTATACTAAGTAAGTTGTTTACAAATTACCTAAAGCTCTTATCTCCTGCTAAGCTTGTAATTATTTTGGTCTCACCTAAATTTAGCAACGTTAAGTTTGAGCTGCATTTTCTGAGCAAGAGATTGGGATTTTGAAAGCTTGGATGGCAGTTCGCCAGCTGGACACTTGCCAAACTTGGCAAGTGAGGCTCCAATTTTGTGCACATCAGCAGCTTTAACATCTGAAAAAATTACAGTTTATTGAAATGTCAATATTTTGTCCTTAGGCACAAAGTTAACTATTTTTTTCATGGTCAATGATTTGAGGTAAAATTTTTACAAGTAAAATGAAACAGCTATAAAGAATGTGAAAATATTTCCAGTTACTAGGATAACAAAGAGCAAAATCAATCAAGACTACAGAATTTCTGTCACATTATCTGATCTATTATACGTGTGTCTACTCCTAGCATTTCTTTCCTATCAGAGACAACAAACAAGATACATCCAGAATTGTTATATTTATAAACTATGTAAAAGCTTCAAGTCAGTAGGTTTTATAAATTAGAATTTAAAAGAATATAAAATTCAATTTTTCAATTCATTGTAGCTCGTGGTCTGCAACTGAAATTAGACAAATCTGCAAGTAGAGGAGAGAAACAGTATAAAACATTACAGGGAGAAAGGAACTTGGCAGCTTACAAATATCTTACGTTTTATTGGCTTGATGAGCTTGCTTTCTTCATTTACAGGAGCTTTATGTTCTCCATCCACAACCAAATTAACTGAATGAGCTGAACGTGATTCATCACCTCTCATGGAATCTGACAAATCATCATCAGATGGCTGTTGTGAATCATGATCGCTTTCTGATGAATTTTCTTCCTCTGTATCATCGGTTTCAAAGCCAGTATCACTTTCATCAAGTCTCTCTTTCTCCATTTGCTTCTTAACAGCATCAAAGTTTAGTTCACTTAGTAATGATTTCAAATCTGAGTGAAAATTCTCATCAAGTTCAGGTTCTTCTTCATTACTGCAATCTATTACCTCACAGTCATCTGTGTCAATTGCTTCCCAGTCTACATCAGAGTCCAGATCTTCCCATCCGTCACTTTCTTCTTCCCTTTTCAATCTTGTTTTCTTGGGTGCTGTAGGTTTCTTTATCTCCTTCTGTTTCTTGGCATTGCTGTTGGCAAGAATCTTCACAGCTTCTTGAGTCTCTTTAGGAGTAGAATCAGCTGGAAATTTTCTCTTTTTGACATTGCTGTTTCCTTCTGAAGATGGCAAAAGTTGAGTTGTTTGCAGGTTTTCTAATTTTCTCTTTTTAACAGAAGAGATTTCCATGTTGGCTGGACCAACCCCATTGCATTGTAAGGATTTGTTAAGGGCTAATTTTATTGTTCCTAGTTTCTTTTTATCATGTTTGATACTTTTACAATTAAGTGACGTGTCTGTCACTGAGGAAGAAGCCAAGTCACTACCCTTGTCTTGTAAAGATGAAATTCTGGGAATAAGACCATTAACCTCCTTGATTGTATGAGCTTTTGACTTGGGGACTTCATTTGGCAATTTAGGAATCTTGATACTTTTCTCAGTGACTTTATTAGTCTTAATTATCTTCTTAGAATTATCTCTCATTGTAACAGAAGCAGCATTCTCACGTGATGAGTTAACAGTTTTCAAACTGGATTTCTCACGTGATGAGTTAACAGTTTTCAAACAGGCTTTCTCATCAGCAAAAGAAACTGAGAGTTTTTTTACCTTCTTTGATGATTTCAAGGCAGACTTTTTGATAGCAGCTGGCAATGCATCAGCCAGCAAAGATTCAACAGTTGTTTTTGGTTTACTTTTAGCAGGATTTTGATTGTCAGCTGAAGACCCCAGCTTCTTGCATGCCAACTCAATGGCAGCAGTTGGACTTTGTATAGATGATCCATCATTATGTGCTACTTTCTTCTTCTTCTTCTTCTGTTGTATCTGTATGAATATATAAAATATTACAGATACAACGGTAGTAGTAATTGTTAATATACATTTTATTTGTTGATGAGAAAAAGTTTCAATAACAATAATGAATGAATAGAATCAAAATCAAGACAGACAATATTCATCAAGTATGATAAATATTAAAATGCTTGAAATAGTAAATTATAGAAACGTAACAGTACCTAGTCAATGATTAAAGCAAAGTAAATTTTCATTCATATTAGTTTTAATTTGATAGAATTAGAATATGTATGTACTCACACCTGGTTGATGATGTCCATGGTTTTTATCATGGTATGAGAATGTATCAGAATGCCAAGCAAATGAAAAAGACATTTCTAGAGAAAATCTGATCAGCAATGATTTTCTTGAACCCTGATGACAAATCTCACAATTTAATCTGAAGAAAAATATTAAGGTATGTTAAACAATTTAATACATGGAATCATGGATGGACATCAATCACTAAAATTGACATCTTATATACATTTGTCAGTTTGTAAAAGTTTGTGAGTTTGCATGTGTTTGAAGCCTGACACTACAAATATAGGGTTGACTGGGCACATACCCAAAATGCTCACTGTATTAGGATATTATTTGGGACTGAAATTTTATCTCATATGAGGCATCATAAGATCATAAGGCATTTGAAGAGAGATAAGAAAATGTAAAAGACCTTTTCGCCAGTGTAGGCAGTAGATATTTAATGCCTGGTTGCCTTAGGAATACTTAGCAATTAAAAATTAATTATGGAATTGAAATGTGATTTTGAATTAAGTGCATAAAATTTGATTTATTAATTTGACAAATTAATTTTTCAAATTTCAAGAGCTCATCACATTGGAGTTCTTACATCAATGGCACAAATTTTGCAACAGCACTCATGTTTGTGCATGAGCAGGAGCATGGCACACAGCACAGCACAGTTGTTGGCCTCCAATTATAAATTCAATGGAAACAATGACACAGTCTATTATATAGACAAAACTGAACCAAGACTTTCTAGGGAGTAGGGACCAGATCAAAATAGCTTTGTGTTTATCATGTATTATGTTAATCCAGCCCAAGAAATCATGATTCTCCATTCTAGAAAAACAGGCAGAATGCTCAAAATGGAAAAAAGGTCAGAAGCCACCCATGAATTGGACAAAAACAACTCATTTTCCACTGAAAACAATTTTTTCTGTTGAAAATAAGAAAAACAGACTAGTTTTACTTGCGATTCTTAAAAATTGCCACTGAAAAAATAGTTTAAAGTATTGTAATTTCAGGAAATTTTTGCTCAATATTCTAAATTAGGACAGAAGCTGCTCATAAAAAGAAACAAAATAATTATACTTGCAGATGCTATCAATTTAACCCATTTTTGTAGCCCTTACGTAATTTCCTAAATAAAAATATTAGAAAAAATACTTTTTGCACCTGCCATTTTAAAAAGTTCTGTAAAACAATAATTTTTACCTGCAATTTCAAGAAACTCTACCTACTATTCCAGATTGGGTAATTCTAACCACAGTAGGTAGGTAGGTACTTATATACCTACTACTGGTACATGTCTCTGACAGTATAAATGGGCATTCATATTTTGAAAATGGATTCAGCCTTGTAACTTCATTAGTAAAACGCAGAAGAAATCAGTAACACCACTAACAAAAGTCTAGTTCAAGATTTTTAGGAATAATATGATATTTGAACATGTTCATCATAATATACATATCAACCCTCAGGCAAGAACTCCAAGGAAGTTGAACTAATGCTCTGTCTTAGGTATCAAATTTGTTTTTGTCCTGTGCAATAAACAGCCATATCAAAATCACTGATAACATTACTGAGACATAGCAGCAAAGCTATGCCAGTTCCAGTTACCTGGCAACATAATTGGAACAGGCAGATTAATCTTTCTTTGATGTTTAGTTTTTTCCACTTAGGCTTAGTGCCAATGTAGTGGCAAAGCAGAGAGTTCTTTAGACTTTTCCTCAAGTTCAATTTTGAATCCTATAAGTAAACCTGCACTATCATACATAAGATGTTGGTTTTAATCTTGAGTAGATGAGAAAATTAAAAATGAACAAATTCTAAATATCTCTGGTGTGTCACTATGCATTACTGTAATCAAGTGAAAATTATTTCTTGATTACAACTCAAATTTCTATCCTTTCTGAGAAGGAAAGAAAGAAAATTTTGGGTTGCACTTGCAAGGCAAGAACTTGACTGCTCTACAGCCACAACTCAAAGCCCATGCCATGACACTGTGTTACTACTTACTAGCCAACTATATTAAGCTGTCTCTGACTCTAAGCTACAGTGTGGAATTCTGGATAGATAATATATTCTCACATTTATTCAACAAAATGTATCAAATAGCCTACCACATTACACCTTCCACCACAATGACTAGTGATACACTGAGCTAATCAGAAACTGCCATTATTCTGATAATTTGCGATTTACCAACAGCATGTGGATCACTGGGATGGCAGTGCCTTCCTTAAATAAATTCACTAGTTGTTTATGAGTAACTGACCAATTTTTGCAATGAATATGTTCCAAAATAAAAAAACTACATCAATTATTGCAGAAAATTTCCACAATTTCAGTAATACCTACATAGTTTTTAAGACCATACAAAATGATGAGATAAACTTCAATTCTTTCATGGCATATGGCACATTGTAATGGCAGTGAACATATGATGAATGAAAATGTCCCACTCCCTGTTTAGGTAATGTCAAATTCAATTTCACAATAAATAGATTTGATCCACATTGAGATTTACATATATGATGGACATTTTTTTACAAATTTAACACCTCTTTATATGCATCAAGATAAGAATTTTTTCATATTTTTGCTTGAACTTGTTGATATTTTTCAACTAATCTCACTTCAGGTTCTGAATGATTTTGTCTCCCATTGTGAGCTTTTGAATGTCTCACATCTTTTAGAAATGTTGGTTGTTTATAAGCGGCAATTATTTTATTTTTATTAACCAAAGAGCGTTTAATAATGTGACGTGGTGTATCAAGATTTAATAACGGTGATGCTTCCAGAATTTCAATCCCAAAAATTTTTGTCCAAGTACGGTATTCAGAATTCATAATTAGATACATTAAAAAAATATAGAGATAATTAATTTTAAAGATAAATAAAAACAATGCCAAAATTGATGATCAGTTTTTAATATCAGAAACATGATTTAAAACGGTTTCTCAATTTATAGGACCAGCCCTTAAAGAAGTAATCAAGAGGTGTTTTATGATTTTAATGTTTGCCATTGCTTCTCTATCCACCAACATGCAAGATGGTCTACAGAAGCATTAAGGAAAGTTACCAGTCAAACACATCAAAGGAAACTTGGTAACCTTGGCATCCACAACAAAATTTGTCCTATTGACCCAGATAAGGTGGTTTTCAACTAGGTATAGTTCGTTCAACTTGGAACCCCATATAAAATTCCTGCAGGCTTTTGGCCTTGATTTTTGTTTGCCAATTTTTAAGTTTGACTTTTATAAATTTTTTTTAGCCTTTGAAAGACTAGCTCTCAGCATAAAGAATGTTTCTACTCCTAACCACCCTGAGTTTCTTGGGAACTTACAGAGCTTAACCTACCGTCATTTTTACGGCTTCAAGTCATATAAGTATAAAATGTTTTCTTCTGTATTTCAGCCCAGTGACACTCTTTTATTGAAAAAATTAGCCAAAGATAAAGACTTGATCATTTGTAAACCTGACAAGGGCAAAGGCGTTGTTTTGGTTGATCGTAGTTGATATAACAGTAGCCTTACTGCACTCATCACTGATCCTTCTAAATTTGTTGAAATTACTGATCCAATCTCTAAAATTATTTTGAAAATTTAAGACAAAATCAATAGCCTTCTGCGAAAACTGAATAATTTGTCTGCCTCTTCTTCTGAAACTTACTCTAAACTTTACGCCTCTGGTTCATGCCCTGGGATTTTATATGGCTTACCTAAAATAAGTCTGATTTTGCCTCAAAGTTTCAATTCCGACCAATTTTTGCCGCATATAATACCCCTAATTTTAAACTGGCTAAGTTTTTAGTTTCTGTCTTAAACTGTCTTACAACTAACCAGTATACAGTAGACAATTCTTATACTTTTGTTGACTGCTTGAAAGATTTTACCTATGTTCATGACTTAACAATGGCCTCCTTTGACGTGGAAACTTTATTTACAAATATACCACTGTTTGAAAATATTGAAATCTGTCTAAATACTTTGTTTAAAGATATTCATGAAACTGTTAATGGTTTGAACCAAAATTTTATCAAATCCCTGCTGGAATTATCAGTTCTAAATTTGATTTTCATATTTGCTGGTAAATTTTACAGACAGATTGAGGGTTTGGGTATGGGTTTTCCCCTCGGTCCAACCTTTGCGAATATTTTTATGTTTTCACGAGGTTTCATGGCTGACCAATTGTCCTCCTGATTTTAAACCAATTTTTTATAACAGATATGTTGATGACACCTTTCTTATTTTCCAGCATCCCTCGCATGTAAAACTTTTCTTCAATTACCTAAACTTGCAACATAATTCTATTAAATTCACAATGGAACTTGAATCGAACAATAGTTTGTCCTTTCTAGACTGCAATATTACTGAATGTAATGGCCGTTTTCAAACATCTGTTTTCAGAAAATCAACTTCCACCAGCCTAAGCACCAGCTTCTTTAGTTTTTGTTCTTTTAGATTCAAGTTTAATGGGCTTCAAACACTATTACACCAAGGCTTTTGTATATGCTCAATTTTCCATGCCATGCATTCTGAATTGGAATTTTTGCGCAATGTCTTCTTGCTTAATGGATTTCCTTCTCGCATGGTGTTTACCCAGATTAAAGAAATTTATGTCTAAGCGATACAGTGAAGTTGTTCCAGAGCCTGATAATAGAAGAGTGGTTTACTGTTCTTTTCCATACTTTGGCCATGTGTCCAAAGTTATGTCAAGAAAATTAAAAGATTTGTTTATGAAATACTTTCTGGACATTAATCTTTGTATCTTACTGGTTAACAATTTCAAAATAGGTTTGTTTTTTAGGTACAAAGATATCCTCCCTTCTCACATGCAATTGTCTCTAGTTTATAAATTTAGTTGTGCACAATGTGCATCTGCGTACATCGGAATGATGGCACGCAACCTTTATACTAGGGTCGCTGAGCATAAAGGGAGGAGTTATAGGACTGGGCAGATACTATCGCGCCCTCCTCATTTGGCTGTGCACACTCATGCCAAACAGTGCAATGTTCCGGTGTCCAACACTGACTTTAAGGTTTTAGCTTATAGTTCAGGTGCTTCTGATCTGCGCATTTTGGAATCATTTTATATTTTCAAAGAGAAGCCTAGTTTAAATGCTGCCTACAGTTCTTATCCATTA